TATTTCACTTTTTTGATAAATATAAGAATTTCTTCAATGTATCGTTTCCTGTTGTCCACAGCATCAATTATTCAATTTTCCTTCTTTTTTTTTCTACTTCAAGATCCATGCTAACTGTCACTTTGGGAGATTCTCAATCAATACACAAATAAATAAACAACTTATCAATTAACCAGATAATTATATTAAAACATGATTCATAGAACCAGATATTTTTTCCATTTCATTAATCACAACCTATATCAAACACCTATAATATAAATATTATTAGTCAGCAGTGCTCCTCCTTATCTCATGCCAGATTTATTTTTTTCTTTTCTATCTGACATCAGAACCATCTTTCATCAAGGTAATAGAGAAGTCAGTGCATCTGCTATGGAAGATTGTATGACATAAACTGATCAAAAGATTGCAGCATCATGTAATCAATACAATTAATGTCCACCATGCCCCCCCAACACAAAGCATACTGTGAACCTATTTATTTTGCATTTAACTTCAAGGGGGGGGGGGTTTTCCTAAAAAAATATTGTGATCCCCTATTTGATGAAAAAAAATATTGTGGTCAAGCAGATGACAAAAAAAAAAATTCTGAATCGAGATTTTCCCCATACCTTATAGTGTTAAATTTTGCAAAAAATAATTTGATTGATAGCGTAGAAAAACAAAAAATGTTCTGACTCATACAAAAAACCATAACCACCCCTTGAAGTTAAATGGTTGCTCCCTTAAGCTGTTTCACATGCTTATGAAGTATATTTTCTTACCGGCTCTTTTTAAAAAAGACATATGAATATTGTTATTGCTTTTAAATCATTATACAGATTTTGCTCTTACCCGAATAATTCAGTCGTTATAGGTGTTTAACACCACTTTTAGCCAATGTTTGCTATTTCATGGCGGCCAGTTTTTATTAGTGGAGGAAGCCTGAGACTATGCCCGGAAAAAGCCACCGACCCTTGGTAGGAAAACTGACAATCATAGTCAATTAAGATTGGAGTTGATTGCACCCTCACATGCGGGACTCCAACTCACAACCTCATTAATTGTTGTCAGGCTAGTGATACAGTAGTTGGACTACTTAGACCACTCGGCCACCTATATAGAAAATAAAAGTTTTCACTTTTCTTGTTTAAATCCTCCATCGATATTTATTTAACGAACAGTATTTTCTGATATTTGGCAAAGTCAAGACATTTGTATTGCAATGGAACATCCATGTATTTTAAAGTAATCTTCGGGTGAATTAAGTCTCAGGAAAACATTTACCACTTTTAACACATTATAATTATCAGTCCCATCTGCTTTTTATTTATCCATTACTATTTTTATTTTATTTTTGTTTACATCTGTAAAGTGTTTCTAATCAGTATATGATGTTTACAGTAAACCAATTCTTTCAAAATATATTGAATCAAACAGATATGTAATATTAAGCAATATTCTCCATTATGAAGCCTAAACACTGGCACCAAAACACTTTATCTTCAGTTATAAAAAGTTGTTGTAAAGAACAACTGAGACATTAATATGCAATATTCGATACCACGTAAAACATGTGGTACTAATTACAGGTAGATGAAGGTCACATCTGGGACCAATCTCACAAGTCTTCATGTCCAATAATACTATCATAACAAAATAGTAGCCTAAGGATGTCAATCAGCATCCAGATTGTTACTGTGAAGGACATGGTTGACATGTAGTACAACATATCAACAATGAGATTAAAACATGGTGAGATTGCTGACAATTTTTATCTAAGAAAACATCACAAATGTTTATCATCCCACAAAATACAATTACCCCAGTACAGTATGGTAGTACTAGAAATGTTCATGCTGTTTGGAAAATAAACTCTCTTCATGCATTCACACACCGTGTCAGGTCTGAGACATAACCAGTTCTTAATGTCTATTTTTCAGTTTCAGTTTATCCCTTCATAAAAAGACTTTGGTGTGATTTAAAAAATTTGACATAATCTATCATGTAGAAACTTATATATTGCTTGAATCCTTTAAGATTTTTTAGAACATCAAATTCAAAATAACAAAAAAATTGTTTACAGTATGTCACCTGCAGTGTCTTGAAATTATTAAAACAGAATCTAGCAAGTCCATGGTTTGGTATGGGAAACAAGAAGTACAATAGGATGTTCTGTAGATGGATAGACTTGCCTGAATTCTGTCCAGCCATTTACAAGGCGTTGTCGATTAAGGAAGTGTGACACAAGTGAAGATTTAGGACATTATAGGTGATTCCTATACGTGGCTACAGTTGATACAGTTGTTGATTAAGGAAGTGTGACACAAGTGAAGATTTAGGACATTATAGGTGATTCCTATATGTGGCTACAGTTGATACAGTTGTTGATTAAGGAAGTGTGACACAAGTGAAGATTTAGGACATTATAGGTGATTCCTATATGTGGCTACAGTTGATACAGTTGTTGATTAAGGAAGTGTGACACAAGTGAAGATTTAGGACATTATAGGTGATTCCTATATGTGGCTACAGTTGATACAATTGTTGATTAAGGAAGTGTGACACAAGTGAAGATTTAGGACATTATAGGTGATTCCTATATGTGGCTACAGTTGATACAGTTGTTGATTAAGGAAGTGTGACACAAGTGAAGATTTAGGACATTATAGGTGATTCCTATATGTGGCTACAGTTGATACAGTTGTTGATTAAGGAAGTGTGACACAAGTGAAGATTTAGGACATTATAGGTGATTCCTATATGTGGCTACAGTTGATACAGTTGTTGATTAAGGAAGTGTGACACAAGTGAAGATTTAGGACATTATAGGTGATTCCTATATGTGGCTACAGTTGATACAGTTGTTGATTAAGGAAGTGTGACACAAGTGAAGATTTAGGACATTATAGGTGATTCCTATATGTGGCTACAGTTGATACAATTGTTGATTAAGGAAGTGTGACACAAGTGAAGATTTAGGACATTATAGGTGATTCCTATATGTGGCTACAGTTGATACAGTTGTTGATTAAGGAAGTGTGACACAAGTGAAGATTTAGGACATTATAGGTGATTCCTATATGTGGCTACAGTTGATACAGTTGTTGATTAAGGAAGTGTGACACAAGTGAAGATTTAGGACATTATAGGTGATTCCTATATGTGGCTACAGTTGATACAGTTGTTGATTAAGGAAGTGTGACACAAGTGAAGATTTAGGACATTATAGGTGATTCCTATATGTGGCTACAGTTGATACAGTTGTTGATTAAGGAAGTGTGACACAAGTGAAGATTTAGGACATTATAGGTGATTCCTATATGTGGCTACAGTTGATACAGTTGTTGATTAAGGAAGTGTGACACAAGTGAAGATTTAGGACATTATAGGTGATTCCTATATGTGGCTACAGTTGATACAGTTGTTGATTAAGGAAGTGTGACACAAGTGAAGATTTAGGACATTATAGGTGATTCCTATATGTGGCTACAGTTGATACAATTGTTGATTAAGGAAGTGTGACACAAGTGAAGATTTAGGACATTATAGGTGATTCCTATATGTGGCTACAGTTGATACAGTTGTTGATTAAGGAAGTGTGACACAAGTGAAGATTTAGGACATTATAGGTGATTCCTATATGTGGCTACAGTTGATACAGTTGTTGATTAAGGAAGTGTGACACAAGTGAAGATTTAGGACATTATAGGTGATTCCTATATGTGGCTACAGTTGATACAGTTGTTGATTAAGGAAGTGTGACACAAGTGAAGATTTAGGACATTATAGGTGATTCCTATATGTGGCTACAGTTGATACAGTTGTTGATTAAGGAAGTGTGACACAAGTGAAGATTTAGGACATTATAGGTGATTCCTATATGTGGCTACAGTTGATACAATTGTTGATTAAGGAAGTGTGACACAAGTGAAGATTTAGGACATTATAGGTGATTCCTATATGTGGCTACAGTTGATACAGTTGTTGATTAAGGAAGTGTGACACAAGTGAAGATTTAGGACATTATAGGTGATTCCTATATGTGGCTACAGTTGATACAGTTGTTGATTAAGGAAGTGTGACACAAGTGAAGATTTAGGACATTATAGGTGATTCCTATATGTGGCTACAGTTGATACAGTTGTTGATTAAGGAAGTGTGACACAAGTGAAGATTTAGGACATTATAGGTGATTCCTATATGTGGCTACAGTTGATACAGTTGTTGATTAAGGAAGTGTGACACAAGTGAAGATTTAGTACATTATAGGTGATTCCTATACGTGGCTACAGTTGATACAGTTGTTGATTATAGGAAGTGTGACACAAGTGAAGATTTAGGACATTATAGGTGATGCCTATATGTGGCTACAGTTGATACAGTTGTTGATTAAGGAAGTGTGACACAAGTGAAGATTTAGGACATTATAGGTGATTCCTATACGTGGCTACAGTTGATACAGTTGTTGATTATAGGAAGTGTGACACAAGTGAAGATTTAGGACATTATAGGTGATGCCTATATGTGGCTACAGTTGATACAGTTGTTGATTAAGGAAGTGTGACACAAGTGAAGATTTAGGACATTATAGGTGATTCCTATACGTGGCTACAGTTGATACAGTTGTTGATTATAGGAAGTGTGACACAAGTGAAGATTTAGGACATTATAGGTGATGCCTATATGTGGCTACAGTTGATACAGTTGTTGATTAAGGAAGTGTGACACAAGTGAAGACTTAGGACATTATAGGTGATGCCTATATGTGGCTACAGTTGATACAGTTGTTGATTATAGGAAGTGTGACACAAGTGAAGATTTAGGACATTATAGGTGATGCCTATATGTGGCTACAGTTGATACAGTTGTTGATTATAGGAAGTGTGACACAAGTGAAGATTTAGGACATTATAGGTGATGCCTATATGTGGCTACAGTTGTTACAAACATAATGAGGAAAAACAAAATGTTCAACTATATATAACTCATGATTCTCTGTCATAAAGACCCCCAAAAACTGAAGTACCTACTTATAATCCTCTGTGATAAAGACCCTCAAAACTCCAATACCTTCTCAAGATCCTCTGTAATAAAGACCCTCAAAACTCAAATACCTTCTCATGATCCTCTGTAATAAAGACCCCCAAAAGTCAAATACCTTCTCATGATCCTCTGTCATAAAGACCCCCAAAAGTCAAATACCTTCTCATGATCCTCTGTCATAAAGACCCCAAAACTAAAATACCTTCTCATGATCCTCTGTAATAAAGACCCCCAAAAGTCAAATACCTTCTCATGATCCTCTGTCATAAAGACCCCCAAAAGTCAAATACCTTCTCATGATCCTCTGTCATAAAGACCCCAAAACTAAAATACCTTCTCATGATCCTCTGTAATAAAGACCCCCAAAAGTCAAATACCTTCTCATGATCCTCTGTCATAAAGACCCCCAAAACTCAAATACCTTCTCATGATCCTCTGTCATAAAGACCCCCAAAAAGTCAAATACCTTCTCATGATCCTCTGTCATAAAGACCCCCAAAAAGTCAAATACCTGTACTTTGTAAATTTAACATTAGTACAACAAGAGCTCACAAAATATTCATTTTTCAATATGATTTCATTAATTCATTAGAACAAACAATTTCAAGTAATAAATCATATCTTAACACTGCAAAAAACTAATTCAGATTGAATATAATAAATAGTTATTTATTTTTCTAAATAAATGCATACTATGAAATTCCTCATCTGCAGAAAAAATATTTATTGATTAAAATGTACTGTCATAAGGAGGAAAGAGTTATCTACCATGCATACATCAAAGTAACACATAGTGGGCAAGATTTTAAGATTTGCTTACAATACCTTTTACATTTCTAATCAAATCAAAGTTTTAGATTGGCTATTTAATGTTATCCACCCTTAATAAATTAAGTAAAACTGATTATCTCCCATTAATAAAACTGTAAAGGGAAAGGCTAGCCTGGGATCCTGGCTCACTGCTCGACAGTAGAGCCAGGCGGAATACAACAACATGGTTCTGTCAATTGGATGTTAGAATGATGCATCTTGGGATAGCTTCATTTCTTGACACATGGCGGGAAATATTTATATTGCCACAAATTTATTGAAAACTATTTTTATTTTAATATGAAATGCAAATTTCGAAAACTTTAACAAATATAATCCAAGCGTTGTTGATTAACATCGTGAATCAACAGTTAATTTACAATCCGATCGATATATTCCTTGATTATAAAATACGCGCATGCGCAGTAATTCAGTCCTGTTCAGCGCTGATAGTTGGTCACGTGGATTGTATTACGCCTGGCCCTATCGACGAAGTATTAGATTGGGTCAGGATGCCAGGCTAAGGGAAAGGCATGAGAAAAAAGCTTGAAAAAAAACTTTTTCTTTTTTTTTTCTTATACCTTTCTTTACAATTTTAATTTCATAACTGGAGAATATCAACAAATAGTTTTTTACAAACAAGTACATGTATACTGTTTTAGAGCAGTATTTCCAAATCATGTGAATTGTGAATTATGTGGTTTTCTATATTTTTTTAAAGTATGCTCCTTTTACACAGTCTTTTGTGACTGAGTTATTCTACTATTACATGTAATGACATTTGATTATCATTGTCTTAAAAATAAGTTTTAAATGATCTGTGATGACCTTTTCTGACCTGGTCATTTGTAGAAAATGACATATAAGCATTCATCTAAATAGCTTTACTCAAAAGAATTATCTCTATTTGAAAAGCTATAAAATAACTCTAGTTTCCACACATTGTTACATGTTGGTAATCTTATATAATCATTTCCAGCACATTTTAAAAGATATTTGATTTGTATGTATCTTCATTTAAGGCAAAAATCTATGTCCTTACCAAGCATATGATACTAGACAATTAGACATTTCCTGTAACTAAGACCTAGTAGATATATAGGCTATTTGTATTAAATGATTGACCTGAAATTGTTTGTGATATATCTAATAATAATCATCCTCATCTTCTACACTATTTAACTGTCAAAGATAACCAGATAAGCTATACCTCTAAGTGACACTTTACACAGTACAACTTACTAATGGTTGGTTTTTGGGAATTTAAATTTCAGAAGATTGTGAATGTACTATTTCTATAAATAAAAAGTGTTGAAGCCTCACTACCTATCAAGATGGATTTTATATCATAAAATTGCACAAGTTATGTATTCCTTACAAAATAAATGGAGAATGTGTCCATGGGACACAGATGGATACCCCCCCTTGCATTATAAACATTATAAAGGGACGCCACCCAAATTCGAACTTGATCTGAGTTTTGTGGTAACAAGCATAATGTATGTAAGATTCATAACATTTGGTTGAGGCAAACTTAAGTTAGAGAACGGAAACAAAAAATTTTGCAATTTTGCCATTAGTAAAGGGGCATAACGGTAAAAGTGACACCACCCAATTTTCGAACTTGATCTGTGTTTTGTGGTAATAAGCTTTTGTATAAGATTTACAACATTTGGTTGAGGCAAACTAAAGTTAGAGAACAGAAACGAAAAATTCAGCAATTTTTATGTGTATGAAGGGGCATAACTCATGAACGGTAAAAGTGACGCCACCCAATTTTCGAACTTGATCTGTGTTTTGTGGTAATAAGCTTTTGTATAAGTTTTATAACATTTGGTTGAGGCAAACTAAAGAGAAGAGAAACCAATTTTGGAGACGTATGCGGTGGACGGATGGGACAGACAAGGGTAACACTTATTGCCCCTTCCCCTATTGGCGGGGGCTTAAAATTAAAAAAATCCTTACTTTTTCATTATATCCTGAAAGAATATTGGAATAAATTCTGACTTCATATCATCTCATTGAGTGGACAACAGAAGCCATGATAATGTTCAGATCTGGACAAACGTAGGATTGGGAATGATCTCACCAAAGAATATTATACTCCAGCCCCTTAATACTTTTAGTATACTAAAATCCTCAGAAAGTGTTCTTCATTTGTTAAAGTAAAATATCCATCTAGCAGACTAGGAGGAGTTGTCCTAAGAAGAGACTGTTACCACATATTGCAATATCTAAGTAAATTCCATTATCCCCCTTTATTCACCCCATGTTGCATCAGATTATATTCCTTTATGTACATCCTCAGGTCTACAACTATGTAAAGTTTCATCAATATCTGAACAGCTGTTTAGGAGTTGCACGGAGGGACAGACAGACAGACAGAATGGGGATTGATGAACGATGATTCCTTTAAACACAAAAAACTTTAGTTGAGTAAAAATTGGACACCTTTATCTATTGTAAAAATATAGGTTAAGTACTTACATAGAACATTTGAAGCACATCGGATGGTACACATCTCTTATATCACCAGCACGCTTCATAGAGATTCTCTTCTCGTCTTTTATTGGAAACCCACATCCTGAACATTTCTCATCATTCTGAGACCGATTGAAGATACTACGTCTTAATAAAGACGGAGAGAAACTCTTCCTTGGGAGTCCTGGAGATCGTGATTTCTGAGGTGTTGTTGGTAAACTAGGGGACTTTTCACTTGATATTTTAGGATCATCATAAAGTGACAATGGTCTATGGCTGAATGTTCGTTTTACAGATCTCAGCGACACATTAGAGGCATCAGAGTCTGGGTCATATACGTCCCCTGAAAAAGAGTAAATTCATTACATCTGATGATGGCTTAGCTGCAAAACTGTAAATCTAATGGTTCTTATTAAGTTTTCTGAATTGTGTTGAGGTCAGCAAATTGTCAAAATGAGGACCTAAGAGCTACAATGCCTCAGCTAATACTCGCTGTAACCATTGAATTGTGTTATCAAAATTTGAAATGCCAATAATTTAAGTTTTAATTGATAACAAACAAGATTGCACACTTTGTCTTGCTAAGCATACCCCCACTGGTCATTGAAATTATCAAAAAAACAGGAAGTAAGCATTCAACAGATCCAGAGAGCCTACAAACAAGTCAACTCATCACTGATATTAGCTGCTGACCAAATATCATGTTATTCTGTTATGCAGTATTTTTAGAAAAGTGTGACAAAAATATTTTTGTTTTAATTCAGCATGTTGAAAAATTCAAAGTATCCACAAACAGGTTTTGGGAGCCAACAGATCTAAAAGGCACTCATAAGTCTTACAAGTGAGAGGTTTAGCTAGCTATAAAACCTGGTTTTGGGAGCCAACAGATCTAAAAGGCACTCATAAGTCTTACAAGTGAGAGGTTTAGCTAGCTATAAAAAAACAGGTTTAATCCACCATTTTCTATATAAGGAAATGCCTGTACCAAGTCAGGAATATGACAGTTTTCCATTCGTTAGATGTGTTTGAGCTTTTGATTTTGCCATTTTATAAAGGACTTTCTGTTTTGAATTTCCCTTGGAGTTCGGTATTTTTGTTATTTTACGTTTTACAAGACATTAATGGCAAGCTGTTTACTTAAATAGAAGTCATTCTGTTCAGTAGTGGTGGAGAAATGTGTGACAAAAATTTTAATTTAAATCAATATATAAAAATATTTTAAGTATTGACAAACAAGAAAAAGATGTCGGACAGACATGTTATCACACAATTTATAACAATTCATCACTGTCAAGCTGCTGATCAATATGAAGTCAGTGGTTCCTGAGAAAAGTATGACAAAAATATTAGTTGGAGGAACGGACAGACAGACACAAAAGATGATTGCAATATAGCCCCCACTTTTAGAATGGGGTTAAAATATGACATTATATTTTTAACCACACTTTTAATTGTAATCGTTTTATAATTTTTCAAAAATTTTAAACAATAGATTAACTATTTGAACATCTTTAGTAAAAGGAAGTGAGCTCTTTCCTTTATTTATAGTTTATTGTTACATTTAATTTTGCTACTCCCTTTTTTTTCGTGTTTTTTTTTATTTACCAATATAAATCTACATCAGAGTTTACACATTTAGTTTTTTGTTTTCTGATTAACAATATAAATTTTTACAAAATGTTAAATTTTCCATCCTTTAAAAAAATAATCTTATTTATTTGCATGGATCAACACCTTGATATTGCTGATTAACAATAATTCCCCTGAAACTGAACTCATCACAATCTTCCCTACTGACTCCAGCATCCCTACTAAGTCTTACATCTGCAACATCATGGCAGGTGAGACAAAAATATTTATGCAGTTATAAAATAATATCCAGTACAATTATCGTACTCAGACTCAGAATTCAACCAATCATAATACTAGATTTGGTGTTTCTAGCACAAATTTTATACACTGATTACTGAGTAAATGTTTTATGACTGATGGCCCAGGACTAGAGACTCAGGTGGCATTATAGTTTAAAATAATTTTCAGATGATAATTTGAACTTGATAAATTCAATATAGAATAATTAGATTTACCATTGGGCTTTTAAGTCTCAACTTTTTCAGTTGAACTTTTTATTTTTTCGGATTACGAAATGCAGCATTGTAGTATAAATGGGGTAAAAAACATTGCATTATTTCGAAGCATTAATTTGACATTTTAATTGTATTTAATTTTTCAACTAAAACCTGTGATTATTGCAATAGCTGCCCGTTTTCAAACCCATCACATAAATTATAACTCAAGATAACATATAAGAGTTGTTCCCTGAGTATTACTTATACCTATAAAAATCAGAAGATGTGGTATGATTGCCAATGAGACAACTCTCCACAAGAGACCAAATGAAACAGAAATTAACAACTATAGGTCACTGTACAGCCTTCAACAATGAGAAAAGCCCATACTGCATAAAATTGGCCCCGAAATGACAAATGTAAAACTATTCAAACGAGGGCGGGTTAAAAATGTTAGTGGGGGCCCAACTCTCCCCCTAACCTGGGACAGAGGTGTAACAGTACAACATATGAACAAACTATAAAAATCAGTTGAAAAGGACTTAACTCATCAAATAGCTACAAAGCAAAAACAAGCAACAAAAACACAGAGGGTACTTATATATCCCAACAACAACCAACATTTGTGTATAACAGGTTTAAATATTATAAATTTTGGACTGTAACACTGGTCTTAAATTTATAATTTTTTTATTGTTTTGGCTATAACAATTCTAAGGCTATATGTTTTAGACGTTTACAGGTATAAGTTTTTTTTTTCTATTTTTAACTGTTGCATGTCTACAATTTGCAAAGCTTTAGGGTCGATATGAATAATGTTTCAACAAGCAAATATTCTAAAGGGAAAGCACTTAAATATGCTGTTGTATACCGGTAAATATCTTCAGTCGAGAGGAAAAACAACTTTCCTTTTTCTTGTTATCAGTTTTTCAAGTGTAATGTGTTCAGTAAGCATAGAATTTTTTTATTTCATTTTTAAATTGAAAAAAGAATTTTCCCTTTTGTTATTTGAGTCTTCAATAGTTGACTATACAGCATGGGTTTTGCTCATTGTTGAAGGTTGTGCAGATTGACCTATAGTTGCTCACATCAACATAATTTGGATTTTGGTGGACAATTGTCTCGACGACGACAAGGTTTTTTTTTAACGACCTTGACTACCCATGAGGGTCTTGCACGGTCTCACTGGCAATCATAACACATCTTCTTTATATATATACATTTCAAACAATTGTGCCAAATGTCCTTTTCTTCAAATATAAAAATAAGATGTGGTATGATTGCTAATGAGACAACAATAATCCACCAAAGTTCAAATGAAGTGGATGTAAACCCCCCAAAATCAATCATATCACAAATATAAAGCATGTGCAGAAGAGTCTTCATCAGTGTGTTGATTGATTGATTGGTATTTAACACCACTATCAGCACTATTGTGCTTTTTAATGGCCGTCAGTTTTTATTGGTGGAGGAAGCCAGAGTGCCCGGAGAGAACCATAACCTTTTGGTAGGAAAACTGACAATCCTGGTTAATTGAGATTGGGAGTCTAACGCACCTGCTATGTGCGGGATTTGAACGCACAACCTCAGTGTTGACAGGCTAGTGATACAGTAGTTCAACTACTTAGACCACTCGGCCACAGAGTGTAAAAAAATACATT